GCACTTTTGTCTAATAGCTGGGTCGAGCTAATGCATTTCCTCTTCTGGTAAAGTGCTGGGTTTTTATTTTTTTCATGTCTGTCAGCAGCCATAGGCTAAGTATTCATCACTAGACAGTCAAAAAGCCTGAGGCAGAATCGATTCAATCTAGGCAGCTTCCTCTAGGCAGTTCCCTGCTCGCAGTGGCTGAGGCGAGCAGCTGCAGGGGAGCAGGAGGCGAGAATTCCACGCAGCTCCCTGGGGCTGCCCCTGAGGTGGGGGCTCCCTAGTGCTGGGCTGCACGGCTCGGCACCCAGCCTGGAGCACTCCTTTTCTCTTCCTCCTGTGGCAGCAGCCAGAGCAATCGGCAGCTGGGAAGGAGGAGGGAAGGAATTCCCATTGGCTCCCCAGAACTTTTCCAGGGACCGTAGGACAGGGTGGAGGAAGCCCCCTGAGGCAGGGGCTCCCCAATGCCTACACCCAGGGTGGTCTTGAGAACGCCTTCCCCATCCCTCCTGTGGTAGTGGCTGAGGCAAGCAGCTGTATGGGGGTGGGGGAGGTGGGGAATTCTCCCAGCTCCCCAGGCTGCATGCAGTGAGAGGAGGGCTGCAGAGGGGTGAAACGCCCTCACCATGGACGCTTTCCCTCCTCCTGTGCACCATGTAGACTCAGGCTAGCGGGGTCTGGAGCTCTGTTCCCCTGCCACCCATCCCTATTGGCTGACAGGTGCAGGCCAGTGCAGCAGAGTAGCAGGGCAGTCCCTGCTCTGCTACAGCAGCCCAGAGCTGCAAAGCATCCTGGGATGCTGGGGGACTGTGAGTTAACTTGAACTGGGAAGGGATCTGGGAGAGAAGTTCCATGAAGTGGTTTGACTTAAATCAGTTAAGTCTGATACAACATTCATCCAGGTTTATCTTAAACCAGTTTCAGCCATTTTTGAAGTAGTCTGCGTAAACTGAACTTCTGCTCTGTTACAAGTTGAAACCAGTTTTTGACTTAAACTAGCTTATGTGTAACTTCTGTCCCTAGCCATAATGACGCTATTTGCTACAGGCTGCGGGTAGTAGTAATGTCATAGGAGGGCTGTGCAGGAACTCCATATCAAGTCACCTGGGTTTGGCAGTGAATGCAGAGAAGGTTGTTTTCTTCTCTTCAGGCTCTTCACGATTTCTTTCTTGAATCCCATGTTTATTGTTGTGTGTTGGATGAGGTAGCATTTGACCCTTAAGGAACAAGGCTGTTCCTTACTTTCTGTTCTTCTTGCAGAACACCTGGAAATATTCTTGGTAGATTCTGTCTCATTGCGTATTTCAGTGTCAGATTTAAAGAGAACCGTTTAAAGCAATAATTTGTCTCTCTTCATCCACTTCAGCCTGTACTGATATTCAGAGCTTGACAATTCTTCAGTATGCTGCTGGTGCCACCTTCTTTTGTTTTTGGAGATGATTAAAGGGTAAACTATCTTTCTTCCTTTCTTTTTATTTTCTCTTTCCCCATCTCAAAAACAAGACTAAAAGAACACTAAACAAGAGTTAATGGTGATAAATGACATTTGAATATAGAAGAAAATCCCTTCCCCAACAAAGATACGTGAGAAAAAATAACAGCGGT